AGTATTAGCCTGAAGTTTAGACTAGTTAACCTCTTTTAGCCTTTTAAATTTATCATGAGGATTAAATAAGATAATGTAAGCAAAATGTGTAGCACGGTTCTTGACACGTAGTAAGCCCTGAGTAAAAGTCAACAGTTACTATTGTAGGATGCTATCTAATTTACACTTGTGACCCCTGATGGTATCTTGGAGCTTTTGTGTTAACATTGGAGTTATTCGTTTTGGGAGGTGGTGGTGTTGTCTAAAGAAAATTTATTTGACTATTTGTGGAATGATTGTGTTGTTCCATTCTTATTACTTATTATTTAAGTGGAGATGGGCTACTTAATTTCTCTGAACCTTGATATCTTCATCTTTCAGATAAGGGAGACCATAAAGAAAGTCGTTAGGAGCACTGGTGTGAAAGTCTAGTGGACCTCTCTTAAATGTCAGTCTTTTCCCTAACCAATTATGGGACCTTGGGCAACTTTCAAGTAAAATGAAAATAATATAATCATCTCAGTGTTGGGTATGGGGATCAAATGTATATAGATGAATAACATGTATATAGAGCATATTAGCATATTACGTGGCACACAGTATTCGTTTAGTAAATGGCATTTATTGCTTCAAAGTTTTAGAGTATCTTTAAGATTCCTTCTCAGTAATTCTGTGAAATACCAACTCTGTGAGGCCCTCAGTAGAATCCATGGATTTCCTTCTGAGAAATGTGATTATAGACAACGAAGGCCTAAAAAAATATTTGAAAGATAAATGGCATCATTGAAGCTAGTCTCAAATGGCTAAGAATTACAACATGGGAATTTAATAGCCTAATTGAGGTCAGAGCAGAATAGTTACATACTGTAATGCCTTATTTATCTGCCATCATAAATTATATTTCTGTTATCTGGAAATTTTATTAAAAGAGCAGTCATAAGCTTTGAACTCACATAGACCTGGGTCTAATTCCTGGCTCTGCTATTTAATCTCTCTTCACCTCAGTTTTAAAATACAATCTCTTTTATAAAGTGTGACCTACCAAAAAAGAATGTTTTGAAGAGTAAATGAGATTGTATTGGCACAACACCTTGTATAGTACCTGGCAGATAAGGATCCAGATGTAAGTGACCCCAGCTCCTATGGCAGGAAAACTGTTTTTATTCTAATCTCTTTTGATGAGTTATTCTAAATGTTACAAATTTACTTCTTAAGCTAAAATTTTAAAACTTAATTTTATCTTTTCTATGTGCCTCAGGATTGTCCTTTTGTATGTTCATAATTACTCTGTGCCTTAATACAGAGATGCCTTCAGGAGATAATGTTTATAGGACTCTGCATTTTTTGACTAACTGGCCCAGTCCTGCTAGTGCTTTTTGAATTCTTTTTTTTACTCCCTTTTGGGTTTTAAAAAATTCTGTCTTGATTTTTAGATTAACTGTGTGCCTGTCTCTAGCAGTGGAATACTGATCCCTTCTGATTTACTCTTCCTAATCTCCTGTTTATTTAAAAAAAAAACTAGATAACCAAACTTGGTAAAATTATGTCCACAGTAAGAATAAGCTGGCTCTGTATGAGAAACTTAGGGGTTTACAGTGAGCACAAGCCTTAGTGCCTGGATTTGGCACCTTCTATTTCTGTCATCCAAGGGTGTTCTTTGCTTATTTTGGGGATTCTCTGATATAACCTAGATATTCAGGGTTTCCATATGACCCCCACATAAAAGAGGCATTATGTAGGCATATTTTACTTGTAAATAACACTACTTACGTTGTTGGAAAAAATTGCAATATATAAAATAAGCTGTAAAGCTTGTGATTGCTTTACTAAAGGGAAACTTACTAGATGTTTTTAGGGTGCTATACTTGGGAAACATAATATAACAGAATGTAAATGTCGTGACTTTTTTCTTTAACCTTGTTTTCGAGTTCCATTCAAAAGGCTATAGAAACTGGTTTCATGAATTATTTTTGTTCTATAGTTTTCCTCACCAGAGAGTGGTTAAAATGTCAGACAGAAGCCATCATTGGTGCCCTTCTTGTTTGGTGTATTATCAAGCTCTCCTTGATATTAGTCAAACCAGCTTTTCCAAGGTAGGAACTTGCCTATTTAAAATCAGTGTATGCTCACTTACAAAATATTTTATACTTCCATGTTAAATCTCCTGACTGCTAAAGAGCTGTAACCCAAATGTATGATTGGGATGAGAGTGATGCTAAGTGTATGGTATAATGGAGAGATTCAGACTTGCAATTGGAACGAACTGAAAGGTACTGCTATTCTGGACCAGATGCTGATGTCTTTGGAGAGAAATCATACCCTCATGTGGCCTTATAACTATAAAGTTATGGTCTCTAATATTTATTTAGCTTCCTGTGCTGTTCAGAGTCCTTTAATCATTGCGTGTCCCTTATCTCTCTCATTTCCTAATGTTTTTATATCATTCAGGCATTCACCTGTCTCTAATTCTCTCATCTCCACAGTTTCCTCATCTCCTTCTACTCTGAGCAGAATTCTTTGTTAAACATTAGGCAGTCATTGTATATGCTGTCAACTCCCTACCACTCCCTTACCCCAATTTTTATCTTTTTTTCTTTCCTTTTGTTGGAGGCATCTGTCTCCTTCCATCCTGCTTCAAAAATATCTTCTCTCTTCTTTTGAATTCTCTACTCCCTTATAGCTTCTATCTCCCTATATCCCTTTCCAATTCCATTTTTGAAAATGTGATACTTTCTGTTTCTATTTCTTTATTCCTCAACTAGTCCATTCAAACCATTCTTGCCAGTATTTCCTTATTGCTAAATCAGAGGTCACCCTTAAATTATCTTGCTTGTCCTTTGAAGGATCTGGCATTTGACAGCTTCTTGCCTTTTGGAATTCTTCTCTGTGATTTCCATGGTGCTTACCTCTTCTGGCTTCTCTTTCCTTTATAGCAGCTCCTCCGCAGTCTTCTTCTAAAGCATCTTTTCTTCTGCTATGCCTTGAATGTTAGTATTCCCTGGGTTTCTGTGGGTGGCCTTCTCACTCAGCATTCTCCTGGATGATCTCACCCACTCCTTCAACCAGAAATCCATGATGATTCAGATATCTCCACCTTACATCTCTCCTGAGCTATGAACCAGTATATCCAACTGCCTTTCGAACATTTACATATGGTTATATCAGAGGCATTTCAAAACCAGTGTGTCTAAAACTGAGTTATTGATTCAACTCAAAGATAGAATTACCACCTATTCAGTAACTCAAGCCAAAAACACGGGAGCTGCCTTTGGTTCATGCTTCTTCCTAATCCCCACCTTTAATCGAGTCCTGTCGTTTTTACTTCTGATATCGCAGTTGTCTATCTCCCTTCACTTCCTCTGCGCCCACCCAATACACAAATTCCCCATTGACACTCTGTTAGCTAAAATCTCAGGATTACTCCGTTGGATGACTGCCACAATTTCCTAATCCCAGGTTCCACCCTTCAAAACTCATTTAATGTCCCTCCTATTCCATGAGTTAGTTCCTTGCTATGGTAGCACTTATCACGTTGTATCATTATATATTTAATTGTCTGATTATATTATTTACTAAACTGGAGCCCCTTAAGTGAGCAACTATATTTTAGTTATTTTTGTAGCATCTGTGTCTAGCATAGTACTTGACATGTAGTAGACAGTTAATTAATATTTGAATGAGTGAATAATGAATGTACAAAGGAAAGAATACAAGCCTTTGGGTCAGACCCATCAAGATCTAAACTCTGCTCAACCTTGAGAAAATTAATGTATGTTTGGGAATTCCATTTCCAAATCTGAAAATGAGAATACACATGAGTTATTTTATGTGAAGTTCCTCAGTACAGTGCGTGGCACATTTTAGGTGCTCTTTAACTTGCTTCTAAAACAAAGTAGCCTTTGTTGTTGTTTTGTTTTGCTGCCTAGTACTAGTTTTGTGAACTGAATTCATTCACTAATTTTCAGAGCCTAGGGAGAAAGATTTTGTAGCAAGGGTTCCTCTTTAGTGCCAAATGTGACTTTTTAAAATACAATATTTAGTTATCAATTTAGAATGGAAAAAAAAAAGGAAGACAAGCTGAACTTTCAGAGACACCTTGAAACCTCACTAACATTAATTCCAGTTTTTTCCAGTATGGCCTCATCATTTTTTACACATTTTACATCTGTAGTGCAAATATACCCACCACTGTTGGAATGGTGTACTTACAGTACCTTAGGATCTTGTCAAAGAAATATTCAGTTTTGTTTAGTATTACTCTGCTTCTTAAAGTCTGAGGACGGATTTATACACTTTAGAAAGGTTTAAATCTACTGTTGTAACAAAGTTATTATTATTATTTTTTCCCACCAGAACCTCATAGTTAGCCAAAAATTTCATTAGCCTGAACATCTCACTTAAGTGGAATATTTATGTGGTGGGTTTTCCCACCCTTTGAGCCTTTGTCTACCCTTGAAGCCTGGCTGGAATAAGAAACCACCTATTTCATTTAAATAGGTTTCACGTTAGCAGGATTAATACTGCTGTTTTCCTCATTTCTCCAGTGGTAGCCCAGAAAGTGTATAAAAAATAAATATGTGAAGACTACCTCAATCTTTGTTTTGGTATCGGAAACATTAAGTCTTCAGTGTAAGCATGAGTAAGTGTCAGTTATCTTCGAGGTGGAAGACTCCAGAAGAGAGGGTTCTTCTGTGGGCTGGCCATTTAAAAGTTGTCAGGGCAGGCTTCTCCGGGAGAGGGCCTGAGCACCCAGCCCACTCTAGGACCTTGCAGGGGCCTTCGCGAGGTGCACGGAGAGCACGAGTAGCGGTTTCCTTACCTTCTTCCCCGAAAATTCCGGGCCAGGGGTCCGCTCGGAGAGGCTCTCGCCGCCTCCTGGCAGGTCCCTACCTGTGCCTTCGCGGAGCGGGCGACACAGGAGGGGGGAGCGGGGAGCGGGGGAGGAGGGACTGGCCGACGACAGCGGCAGCGCGGAGCCGCCTGCTGCAGGCCATTCGCCGCGCCGCTCCCACTCTCCCTGGCGAGCTCTGCAAGCGGCTCTGCGGCCGAGCGCCCGGGGACGCAGCGCGGCTCTCTGGCAGCCCGGGCGCCGGCGCCGGAGTCCTGGGCCGCGGGCGGGTGGGCCGCACCTCTGCTCGACCTCTCTGGAGCCGGGGCAGGCCGCGCGAAGGTGACTTACGGAGAGCTTGTGGTGCCGCCCTGGGTCGCCACTCCCGGCTCGGCTGGAGAGGAGGCGGAGGAACAGGCCGAGTTCATTTGTGCGGGAGCTTGCCGAGGAGCGCAGGGTGGAGCGCGCCAGCAGGGATCCCCGGATCCGGCCCAGGTGGGTGGGTGTGTGCGCCTGCTCCCGGCTTTGCTGGTCAGCCTCGGGCGGCAGAGGACACCGGGGAGGGAGGGGGGAGGGCGGCCAGACGAGATCTAGGGATGTGAGTAGATCCAAGAATAGTTGGACGCGAGTGAGCGGAGCGGAGTGCAGCCGCGGGCGTGTGGGGAGGGGTGCGAGAAACGGGGAGACTCTGCTCTCGCTGCCCGGCGCGGGGTCTTCCTGCCGCCTCTGTGTTTGCACCGGGTTCCCACAGGAAGAGCCGCTGGGGGAAGAGCCCGTGGACCGATCTTTTTTTCGGCTAAATTTTGGTAGTAGGTCAGGTGGAGCCGGAGTGGGAGGAGTAAGGCGGTGAAAGACATTATTGTCCTAAATAACCTTCCAAGTTAGTGATTTTTTGCATGTCTCTGCTCTGGCTGACATTGAGATGAACTTACCATCCGCTGTTCGAGGCCGCTAAAATTCCAAGAAAAGGAGGGGAAATGCATGAGTGGATTGAGGAGAAAAGGGGAAATTATACTGGGGTTGGGGAGTGGGGAAGTGGCTTTTAACTTCGTTTTGATTAAGGATTTTTGATTACTCATAGGCTTTCTTTGTAGCCTAAACCAGTGGAGAATCACGTTCCCCAGCATTCAGAGCATGTGGCTAGTTGTTTTGTGTTTTCTGTTGTGCTGGTTTTTTCTGGATTTGGAGAGAGGGTGTAAGGAGGGGGAGATGCCAGGGAAGACCTTAGCACAGCTTTTGAGAGTTGTCAAAGCTATTAAAAGTTTCATAATTTTAATTAGGTTCAAAGACAGAATGAAGGCGTTCATTTTGAAGACAGCGTTGCTTAGCAGGAATCTTTTTCGAGAGAGAAAAATGTTTGAAATGCATATTGGTGGAGTATTGTGTAGGCTAGAATATGGGGATCTAAATGTAAATGTTCTTTTCAGTTTGAGGACACACCAGAGTTCATCTCTGGTCCAAATAATGTTTGATTTCAGCCCTGAAGCTGATGACTTTGGCAAGTTAACTCGGTTTCAATTGAGTAGATATTTAATCTGAACATGAAGACCAGAGAGCTACTTCAGCCTTTGTCCCAGTACTACTTTTACTAGACTGGGGTCTTAAAGGAATTTGTATCACTATGAATATAATTGCAGGACTCTAGTCTCTCCTCTTTAGGAGCTCTTTAAAGGTTAATTTTAGGGAATTTAATTGATGATGAAAGTGACCCACATAATCTCTCTACCCTCAGTTGTGCTCCTTGCAGAATGGGGGAAAATTTAAAAGCTTATTAGGTTTTCCATATTAAAAGTAAATGCCTGTTTTAATATTCGAGGTAGTATATAAATACAGTTCAAGCACATTTTAAATATTGTACATAAAATAATTGATAAAATAATTGTGCCACATGATGGTCTAAGGTCTATGTGCAATTTATGACATTTATCATTTACATTCTTTTAAAAGGCTTTTATAAACTTATCATTAGTATTTCTGGCATTCAAATATATGATTGTGTCTGTCGGCTCTGTGAGAATTGTAGGAAAACTTGTAATACCTTTAAAAAGTAGAAATTTAGAATTTTCCCTTGGTCCACATTGTTCAACATTATACTTTAATTTTTAGCTTATTGTATATATAATCCAGAAATATACTGCTACAATTAATTTTGGAAGCAGCTAGGACATAAGCTAAACAAATAAATATGAAGTTTATGTAAAATGAAGCTGGCTTTCATTTTGATAACTTTTGTGAAGTTTTCGAACAAAAATACATGAGGTTTTAATTAGTAGCATGAAGTGTGTGTATTAGCCTTGTCATGCTTGATATGACCCAGGGTCTATCCTGGTAAGTTTTTGTATCTCACAGTGGTGCTAAGACTGTAACCTGCATCTGATTGTGTTTGTCTTGTATTCCTAGTAGAGAATGCAGTGCTTAACTTGTACTCTACCTGATGAATTTTGAATGAGTTATAGACAGATATAATTTTCATCTTGTTTTACCTTCAGAGTATTAAGGATGTAACCCCTACACATTTCTATAATGGTTTACCATAAATTTGATATATACTACTTTAAGTAAAATTTTTTCCTTAATTCAATAAGTATTTGCAGAGTGGTTACCTTGTCAGATACTGCTATACCAGTCTGTCTTCATAAGACTTAGAGATCACTATAGGAGTCAGATGACTAAAAAGATTCTTACAGAAGGCCAGCATACCCAGAAGGAACAGAGATGAATTCTAGTAAATAGTTCATTAAGACTAGAAGTGAGGGGGAATAAAGAAAAAGTCAAGTCAAGGCTAGATGAATAGAAGCAGAGTCTTCTTGAAAGACTTTGTGAAATATGCCTAAAGAGTTTGAATGTTATTTTAGGCAGTTAGAATCACTGAAAGATTTTAATCTGGGGAGAGATTTAATCAGATTTGCTCCTTATGAGAAGGAGTAGAGGACAGGCATAAAAGTAGGGTGACCAGGTGCAAGAATTCAAGAAAGAATCAAAGTCTGAACCAAGTTGGTGACTGTGGAAAAGGAAAGAAAGATACAAAGCAGAGAGAGACTTCAAAAATCAACAATGTAAACAAGAGTTTGTAATAGATTAAATATGAGGAGTGAAGAAGGTGGAGTCACAGGTGACTTCCAGGTTTATGGCATAAGTCACTGGATAGAAGGTGACTACAGTAGGGAACAAAGGGTGTAGGGGAGGATGAGTTTACCTTTGGACATGATGACATTCAAGTGAGATTGTGCTAACTTGTCCAGTAAAAATTTGAGAATCATTAGTATTGCAAGTCACCTAAATAAATGTGCTGATTAAGGCTGAAGGAATAAATATCACCCAGGAGAAGTATAGTTTGAAAATGTTTGAAATCAAAGGATTGAATACTACATTAAAAGACAAGTAGAAGAAAGGGAGCCAGTGGAATGCGCTGAGAAAAAGCAGCCAGAGAGGCAGAAGTGTGGAACAGGAGATGCCGAGGGAGACAAGTGGTCCAAGAAGTTGAGATAACAACTGAAACGTGTCTGTTGGATTTGGTAGCCAGGTGGTCATTTGAGTCTTGATGAGAGAAGTTTTAGAAGCATGACATAGGAAGAAGCCAGATTTCAGTGAGCAGAGGAGTAAAGTGGAAGTGAGAAAGTAGAAATAATGAAGATAGACTTTGATTCATTCTTCGTCGACAATCATAATCTGTGAATAATTACAGTTTGGTCCTTTCCATCCTTATACTTGTTATTTATTTTTCTTATTCCTAATGTGCTGACTAGGGCCTTCAGGACAATGTTGAATAGAAGCTGAGATGGTGAGAATCCATGTTCATCTCTGATTTTTAAAAAAGACATGCTTCTAACTCCTAATGATTCAGTGTTAAGAATGATATTTAAGAAATACGATTTAACAGATTAATGAAGTTCCCTTTTGTTCTTATATTGTTGAATTTTTTTATCATGAAAGGATTTGAATTTTATCAAATGTTCTTTCTGTATTAAGAGAGTCATAAGATTTTTCTTTAATTTGTTAAGGTGGCAAATTATATTTTTAGACTTTCTCTAATGATAAACCACCCTTGTGTACCTAGTATAATCCTAATTTGGTCATAATGTATTGTCTTGAACGTTCTCCTCAATTTCATTTCTTTTGGATTTTAGCATCTATTTATGAGTGAGATTGGCTTGTAATTTCCTTTTTTGTTCTGCTCTCATCAGGGTTTAATATCAAGGTTACACTGACTTCATAAAATGTTTGGAAGTATTCCTTCTTTTGCTGTTCTTTGGAAGAGCTTGTATAAAACTGAAATGGTCTGTTTCTTGAAAATTTAGTGGAACTTTCTTATAAAACTATCTTCTCTTTGTGAATTTTTTTTCTTAATATACCACTAATTAGATATATTTAATGGTTATAGGGCTATTTTAGTTTTCTATTTCTTTTTGGTACAGTTTTGACAAGTTATATATTTCTAGGAATTTTGTTCTTTCTATTTAAGTTTTGAAATTTATTATTATGAAGATGTTCATAATATTCTTTTATTATTGTGTTTTAACTTATGTTGGGTCTGTAATTATGTATTTCTTTTCCTAACCTTTTTTCATTTTATTTTTCTTAATATTTGTTTGGCTGTTTCCAAATAAATTTTGCTCTTTTTAAAATCAGTCTCATCGAGACTTTATTTGATTCTTTTTCAAAGAATTGTCTGGCTTTGCTATCTATTTCATCTTTATCTTTTAAATTTTTATAGTTATCTCTTATTTTTCTTTGAGTTTGTTTTTTCCCCTAGTATCTATACATTTATTATCCTCTGCCTCTTGAAAGTGGATACTTTGTTTAAAATTTGTTTTTTTCCGGATTTCAAGTTGTATGTTTCTTAATTCTAGTATTTTGTAGTTTAGTAAATATATCACTGCTAGCTTAATCTATTGCTTTGATTATTTTATAGACTTTAATCATGTGTTTCCTAGAATCTTATCTTTCCAGGCTGAGGACTGCTAATGTATGTAGTGTAGAGTACTGCCCTTGTAATATTTAAAACACCTAAAACTTTTGGAAGGTTTTGACTGCTTCCAATTTTTTTCTGTTACCCGACTCTTCCTTGTTTTCATTGCTTGGCATTTCTCTCCATTTCTTTTTCCTACCTTGCTGCTCACCTTCTTCCTTTTTTCCCTCACCCCTCACAACTTCTTTTCTATCCCCTAGATACTTTGCGTGGTGGAAGGAAGAATGATCATCATTCCCTTGCCCTCTTCCTTCTCTTTTTTCTTCTGTCACCCTAATTTTCTACCCCCACCCCCATCCCTGCCTCGGCAATACTTGGAGAATTTTTCCACTGTCTACTCAACATAGTCCATCTTGCTCTTTCCTTCTCCTCAGAACCTTGGCTCCAGCAACAAGGAGGAAAAAGCAGATAAGCTGTGTCTGGTTTTCTTTAGATGCTCAAAGATTCACCTCGTGATCTCTGTTATTCCTTATACAGTCCAACTGATGATAAAGTCAGGGAGTATGGGGAAGGCCTAGGAAGAAAG